CCCCCCCGCCCCACACCCACACCTTTTTTTTTTAACGTGAACAATAACAGTAAACGTACTAAACAAAAACAAAAACAAAAGAAAAGGGGGGGGGGGAATGTTTTATGGTAATAATATCGGACGTATATCATTCACATGTATACGAATAATTTGATCATTCAATTGATCTCGAACCCAATATGTTGGATGTTGTTTTTGTATAATAATCTTCGGGTTTAATGTGTAATGTGGATCTAATTTTGATCTAAAACCATGAATTCTAATTAAAACTTTATCATTAATTTCATATTGTGGATTGCTTCGATTTTTATCATAATATTTTTTATTGTTCATATGAGAATACATTGATTGATTTCGAGCATGTTGTTGAATAATTTTAAGACTTTTCTTTAATTGATGGTAATAATCGGATGGTTTGTAAAATACGTAATTTGACGTTGCGTCTGTAGGCATGCGTGGATCATGACCAAATTGTAATTGAAATGGAGAATATTGTGTAGCTGCGTGAACACCTGTATTGTACGCGAATACTATTGATTGTAAATATTCATCCCAATTGTTATTTTCACGATCTTGAAGTTTGGCCAATTGAGGTACAAAGGTAGCATTGAAACGTTCAACCATTCCATTACTTTGTGGATGGTAAACAGTAGATAATATATGATTGTATCCAATTAATTGAGCCATTGATTCCATTAATTGGTTGTTGAAATGTGTGCCTTGATCAGTTAAAATTGATACTGGCACACCATATCGACAAATATATTCATTAAAAATTGTTTGAGCTGTTGTCTGAGCAGTACAGTCGGGTAGAGCAACGGCAGTGATCCATCGAGTAAAATAATCAGTGATGCATAACACATATTGATTTTCTCTTGGTGTACGTTTAAATGGTCCACAGTAATCAATTCCAATCATTTGAAAACGTCCAATTGGTGTTTCAATTGGACAAAGTAAACCAGGTTTTTTAAATCGACTAACATTATACTGTTGGCATGGTAAACAAGACTTAATAAATCGAGTAATAGATTGTTTCATATCTGGCCACCAATATTTATTCTTTAATTTGTAATATGTACGTCGTATTCCAAAATGTCCACCCAATGGATCAGAATCAAGGGGGGAAAAGCGGATCCTGGATCCTCGGGTCCTGGTGGATCCTGGTGGATCCTAGTGGATCCTGGTGGATCCTGGTGGATCCTATTGGATCCTGGTGGATCCTGATGGATCCTAATGGATCCTGACGGAACCTGATGAATTGTAGAATAAATTATTTCAAGCGTACAGAAACGAGGATGGAAAAATTGATCTTAATGGATATGAGAATTCTTTAAGGTCCAAATAAATTAAGTGAGAAAAGGGAATAGTGACTTCAGAATTTGTAACTAAGTAAAGAGAAAAAAAGATCCAGGATACCGAGATGATTATGTCTTGGTAAATTTTGGCATATCATCATGGATTCTGCGTATTTTTTGGATCCATCAAGATTTACGCTTCCTCGATCGGTTTGATATTATTGTAATACATGATGATTTCTATTGCATTCTAGTTATTTCTGATAAATTGTAATGGATTGTGTTGAATTATAGCCAATGGCGGTAATCTGTGACCGCTTTTGGTACACTTCTAGAAATATATTCTAAAATCTCTTAGGACTCTAGAATCCGCTTTTCTCCGTCAAACTAAGGATGTCAGAACTTAGAGCAACCCTCTACTTTATTATTAATCCTGTTTTTCCTTGAGAAAGTGTGAAAGAACATTTTGGGCTCCTGAATCTGAAGACTCATGTCATATTTTATTCAGGTTTCTGTTTCCAATTTTAATAATACTGGTTTGCAGGATATTTCATTGTGAAAAAAATATTCTTCTCAGGATCTTTTCAAGTTCCCACTCAGATTTCTTTATTATTTTAACATGATGGACCATGCTAGGATTCACTCTTGATCTTACTCAAAACCTTGATAGGGATTACAGAAAGAATATCGCTTAGATTCTAACAGAATTCGTTTGGGATCTCTGCGTCATGGTCCTCTCCTGGATTACAGTTAAATAAGGCAAAGATCCTACAAGGAATTAATAGAAGAGCAATGAAAATCCTCAGGTAGTGGATTCTTCTAAGATTCAATCACGATTCTATCTAATTTTCTTAAGCATTCTTCTTACGAATATCTTTTCTGAACATTTCCAGAGTTGTCTTAGGGTCTCTTCAAGGACAAGCATTTCGGATCCTTCCTAGAGAAGGTCAAGGATGACCAGGATCTTTCTGAAAGCATATCAAGGTTAGACGAAGATCTTTACCATTTTCATTTAGAGACTACTAAAGCTTGATCTTGAGGATTGTAACAAGATCTATGACTGATCTGGTTCAGGATTTTGAATAAAATTATGAAATGTTTCCACCAAAATCCTTAACAGTTCCTATTTAAGATTCTTCGAATATTTTTGAATCTTTGAATCTCAAAAACTCAAATTGTGCTTGTTAAATAAACTTTTAACAGTAACTATACTAAAATGACAATGAAGAATTTGCAATGTGTTTTGTTCCGGTTCTGAGGAGGAATGTAGAAGATCAAGAAGGTACCTGAATTTCATTCTAATATTCCTTTGTTTCTATGTGTCAGTGAATGGAAGAATTCTGACAGAATTTTTGAAGATTTCTCGTCAAAGATTTTTAATATTTATCTTCAATATTGCATGACATTTACAGCATGGAACTCAGTTATTTTTTGAATTTTATTTTCATATAAAACTTGCAAACGCATTAAAATGGAGATTTTAATATCAGTTAAGTGTTGCACTAACTTTTTCTTAAAAAAGCTTTTAGTAAAGGACGAGTACTTCAATAAAACTTGTACTGGATTTTATTTATTCGTGCTAATCAGAAAAATACCTTTTTATTCAAATTGAAATCAACCAGTCATAGCAGAATTTTATGATAAGTAATCAATAGATTAAGTTTATATTGAATTTTTGTTCAAATAATTTATGTTTGCATAAAGTTCAAATACAAGTTAATAGTTCAGAGGGAATTCGAGATACAGAAGGTTTGAGTTAAATTAAATACATGGTACAGTCTACTGCGGTGAACTAATCAGTTTTTTAACTGAACATATAGAAATCAATAATGTGCGTTCATTTCTCTTTTCTGCTTAGAGCATCCTGCACAAATTTTGACAATCCATCGGATATCATCCTTACAGAATCGAAGTGGAATTCTGCGAGGTGCAATCAGAAAATATTTTCCAATTAGAAGCCATTGAAATTCTGAGAAGAGCTTGACATAAAGTCAATACCAAATGACTCAGAATTTCTCTAAGATTTTGTTCTAATCATAACAGAATCGTGTTTATTTCGTGTCTACACGTTTTTCTGAGGATTTGACCCTCTATTAACATATTTCTTGTTTTAATTGCATTGGTAAACTGCTCAGGATACTGGTAGAATCCTGTTATGAACTTTGTCGAGGTCTTGAAATTCCGTGGCTACACGGCTTTCTCAAGATTTAGCAGCTTCTTCGACGATATTATTGGGAAATAGCAATAAACTGTTACGATCTTGATTGAATCTCAATTAAAATTCTGTCGGCATCTTAAAATTTTATGGGTACACACTTTTTTCCGTTCTTCGCATTTTCCCCGGAAAAAATGGTGAACCTGTGCAGCGCCGTTGCTGCCTATGTCAGAAATCTAGCTCAAAAAGACTTGAGCTTTTCTCTAGCGAAAATTCAACACTATCTAGTACAATCTTTTGAAATCCAGAAGAATTCAGCAGAAATTAACAAGTATCATACTAATCTGAAACCAATCAGGAACACCTAAATCTTGGTGGATCTTATTCTATCGTATAAACCGCAGAACTCATTCAGATACCCAAAAGTTCATCGGGGCCCACCAGGCTCTCAATCTTCGAGATTTCTTTTTTCTTTGTTTTCAAAAATTCTAGGGCCAATTCTTCGTCTGTTTACTTTGTTTCCATGTATTCTAATGGCTTCGGATGGAGTCCAATAGATCGTGGGATGTCTCAAGGTCCGTTTTTCCTTTGTAAAGTAGACTAGTCATAGTTGTATAAATAGCACATCGTGCTCCCATTGATTCATCCAGAACATATTTTGAATTATGCATCCTTATTTTATGAATCTGGTTGATTTCCTTGCTTTTGTGGCTATTCAGAACATTAATCTATCTTCATAAATGATAATGAGTTCTAATGGATTCTGGTGGATCCTGATGGATCCTGATGGATCCTAATGGATCCTGATGGATCCTAATGGATCCTAGTGGATCCTGGTGGATCCTATGGATCCTGGCGGATCCTAATGGATCCCAGGATCCACCAGGATCCGCTTTTTCCCCCTTGATCAGAATGATAAGCCTTGAGAAGAGAATTTATCATAGATGAAGGTATATAAATTAATCTAATTTTTGTAATATTTCGTAAATTCATCGGCATCAATTTATACATTAATCCTTCATGCAAAATAAATGAACCACATGTAGGATTTTGTTGAATTTCTTTGACCTTCTTCTGAATAATAGGATCTTTTTCTTGTTCGAATTTAATTTGTTTTATATTAAATTGATTACAAGTATATGAATTAACTTGATATTGAGATGATAAATCCTTGATTTTTTCTAATGAAGATGATTCTAGTTCTTTTTCAATTGATGATGAAGATTTATCTAATTCAGATTCTTGTTGAATTTGTTGTTTCTTCATTGAACGTGTAACAACAGCACCTATAACAGAAAGTTTATCAACGGAAACAGACGCCGAAATCGGCGGTTCCCCATTAAACAATGTACTAATACCGTAATCTTCTTCAAATATTTCTTCTGGTTCAGATTGTACCGGATTTCGAGATAAATAATCAGCAAGACAATTCTGTTGTCCTTTAATATGGATAATTTTTTCAATATTGTATTCTTGTAATAACATAGAGGTGCGATCAACTCGTCTGTTCTTCACAGACTTATTCATCATATTGCATAAAGGGCAATGATCCGTGTAAATGATGATTGATCTTCCTAATAAATATGAACGCATACGTCGAATACATGCTCATATAGCTAGTGCTTCTAGTTCGATTGGATCATATCTCCTCTGAGTGGGAGAAGTAATTTGAGAATGATAATATAAATTTTTTGTTTCACCATTAATCACTTGTTGTAATGTACCACCAATGCCAACTTTTGACGCATCCGTTGTTAAAATTACCGGGTAATCATCATTCAGGAATTGCAGAAATAATGGTTGATTAATTAATAATTGCTTTAAATGAAAGAATGCTTCATTTTGAGGATTTTCCCACACGAACTTCTTTCGATTTGGTTTTGTTAAGTTCGTAACTAAGAGAATAGGTGCTGCTACAGATGCAAATTGTGGTGTAAATTTTCTATACCAGGAAATACCACCAATAAATTTATTAGCTGCTGGTAATGTTGTAGGTTCACGTAAATTCATAATTGCTTGAATCTTTTCCTTGTTAGGTTTCACTCCAAACTGTGAAACCGTATGTGATAAATAATCGATTTGTCGATGTAATATAAAGCATTTTGACGAATTTAATTGTAAATTGTGACTGGATAAAATAGATAATACTTGAGTCAAATGCTTAATATGTTCTTCAAAGGTGTACGAGAATATCACAATATCATCAATATACACCAATGCGAACTGTCGACACGGAGATAATAAATCTAACATTAATCATTGGAATGATGGAGGGCTATTCTTTAAACCTTGAGCTAATACGTTCCATTCATAAAGCCCATCAGGTGTAATAAATGCCGTTTTGTGTTTATCTTCTTCTTTAATTGGAACTTGCCAAAAACCACTTTTCATGTCCAACTTAGAGAAGAATTGATATCCACCGCCTAATATTTGTATCGTTTGTTCCCTATTAGGTAAAGGATGATTGTCTTTAACAGTGATGTTGTTCAATTTCTTGTAATCAACTACCATCCGCCAAGTATTTTCCTTCTTCGGTACTAGCAGTGCTGGTGCAGCATAATTAGAATAAGATTTACGAATAAGACTTGATTGTAATAATTCTTGAATAATTCTATGCATAGCTTCTTGTTTTTGTGGCGTAGAATAATAAGCCTTTGATGTTGGTGGTGGATGATCTATTGTTTTTATTTCATGGGGTTTAACATTAGAAGCAATTACTGGTTTCGTTGTATCAAATAATTTGTTATAACGAATAAGAATTTGTTTCATTTGATGTTGTTGATCATGATCATTAATATGTTCCACCAAACGATCAATATATGTGTCAAGTAAATTGGTTTTTATAGCTGAAATTCCTATTGATAATAGTTTTGATGTCGGGATTGTGTCAAAAATAATCTTTTCACTATTATCAATAGGTATAGTCAATCGATTATTCTTAACACCGATCGATATTGATTGATTAACAATGTTAATTATTAATTTGTATTTACTAATATAATCCATACCGAGTATACAATTAATACAAAGATTCTTCACAATAAGTGCTCGAATTGAGGTATAAATATTATTCATAACAATTGATAATTCCACCTCACCATAAACAGTGATAGATGTGTATCCATCAGCTAAAAAGACTTGTCGTTGAATTCGATTAATTATTTTGCTGTTTCGAATCGAATTTAATGCCATCTTTGAGATAAAACTTTGAGTAGCACCAGTATCAATCATTAATTTCATTTGTTTATCATAAACATAAGCATTAAGATAAATTAAGGGAACATAAAGACTTTGTGATGGGTTTATATATTGATTCTTGGAAGCAACACCATCAATCGATGCTTCCATTAATGGAAATGGGAACGGGCACAATCCCGTGAATAATATCCGGGAGTGCCACAAGTATAACAGACACCTGATGGTCTTTTAGACGTTGTATTTTTTGATGAACTAGAATATGAAACATTATCTTTACGAAAATTATTCATACGACCTGTTGTAGAAGTTTGTAGTTGCGATTGATAAACATCAGTACGTCGACGATCAACATCTTGTTGAGGATTAACTGTTGATGTTATAGGTTGACGATCGTAATTTGTATTCTGATGATTATCATATTGATTCAAATCATAATCTGTATTGGCTAATGATAATGTATCTTCCACTTTCCTGGCATAAGATAAAAATGTTTCTGGAGATTGTGGATCATATAATGCAATATGTAATTTTAATGACTGTTTAACACCTGCCAATAAATATTGTAATTTCATAGAATCAGTCATTGATGTATCAACTCTTTTACATAATTCAATAACTTTATCATATATTGCGTAATAGATTGATTAATCGCTTGTTTATATGTTCTCAATTGTTCAAATGTTAATTCTTTCAGTTTGGTTGAGCCAAAAGCTTGTTTAATTGCATCAACGAAAGATGTCCAAGTTCTAATCTTTGCTGATGATTGATGCCACCAATGATAAGCATCTTCTTGTAAATGAATTGGTATATATTGTAGTTTAAGTTCATTAGACCAATTAGCCATTGTAAATCGTTGTTCTGATTTTTCTAACCATTCTACAACATCATCTTTTGCACCACGAAAATATGTTGGAGACTTAATAATCTCTCTCGCCATGGTAATGGAAAGAGCTGATGTTAATGATGAACTAATTTCAATGGACGAAGATTTAGTCGAAGAAAACTGTTCCACTTGTGTCATGTCATTAACAGATGATAAATAATGACCTTTTGAAGGAATAATATTAATTTTCATTCGATCATAAATACGTTGCTTCAACTTCTTGCAAAAAGAAGGCCAATCATTCTTGATTTCTTGTTTTTCTTGTTCATACCAGAGCCGTTCATCATCTTGTAAATAAGTAATTGTTTGCCAAATACGGTGTGACATAGGATATCGTAATTCTTCATACATCTTATGTAAATCTAATAACCATTAATCTATTTTCAACATTTCATCTTGGGTCAGTAATTTAATTGATTCTAATTGTTGTTGTTCGTATTCTCGATAAGCATCCCATTTTTCTAAGGTATGTTGAACAACGTTATTAGATTGTTTTGTATAATGAACATCCAAATCTTCAACTAATTGTGTTAATGATAAAGTATTATTAGACTCCAAGGTGGAAGTCAGTTCATTTTTAACTTGTTGTTTCGATCGAGTATTTGCAGCCATGAGACTTCTAATCAATAATTCACTTAACGGAACACTTCTTTCACGAAAGAGATTCCACAAACTAGGGTGGTGGGTGTGGGTGTGGGT